CAATATCATAGCTATACACTTGATGTTTCATGAAACTCATTTATATATTTTTGACTCAGCAAAAAAGAATATTTTTACCTATTCCCAACTGCCAGGTACACAACGATTTCTAGTACATATTCTACACTTATCGAGAAATTTCTCTATTCGAAGCGGCTTCAAAAACTTGCCTATAATACAGTTAGTATGCGCTTATCTTCTGAATTTAACTGTTTGTTATTTCCTGTACTTTATTCCCACACTGTCATCATTATCAACATCAACATCATCAACATCAACATCATCAACATCAACATCATCAACATCATTAACATCATCATCATCTTCTTAGTGCTCTTATGTCTTTTGCTGCCTGACGTTCAAAGGGCCATTTCATGAAGCAGCCACATAAAAATGTCCCAAGTTGAGCATAGAATTTCCCAGTATAAAATATTTATTTCCCACTGTTTGCTGGAGCATTTTTACAAGCGAATTTCTAGAATATTTGAGCTCAGCACTAAATGTTTGTTAATTTTAACATAGTTTAAATTCTTTAAATGGAATAAATAAAATATTTGACTTAATAGAACATAATATAAGTCTAGATAAAATGTATTTATATTAGATAATCCTAGTTTCATTGCTACTATAATTTATCAATGAAGTCTTTGGAAGTGCTGCTTTAAAGGTCTATTAAAATATATTTCTTCTATGTCTAGAGGAGTCAAACGCCGTCAAATGAAAATTGTTTATGTAACTTAGTTTTAAGTTAGTTTAATTAAACTTAGTTTTGGACTGTAAACGAGTATTACGCACTCGGGTAAAGCTGATGTGCTTAATAAATGTGGCAATTGATCACGATTATAGTAATGGAATTTTGATTGATGTTTAAAACGGAAATGTCAATGATATAAGTCTTTTCTGCTCAAAGTTCCAAACTTGGCTCCCTATGTTAATGAACCTAGGTTATATTGAGCTTATATGTGATTGTTGATTGTTTCGAAACCCTTGAATAACACGCAGTGGCTTAGCATATAGAGAATATTTTGATTCGAATATACTTAGGCTGATTTAATCTAGACACTAATTTAAAAAATGATCTAGAATCAATATGCAGCTTTGGCTGCTAGCAGAGGTGGCTAACGGACTAACTTATGCCGAATATATATATATATATGTATATAGCCTTTTCCAATTAAGGATCATATAATATACATACTACCAATTTCCAATTCAAGAACAGTTAATAATGCTTATCTAAGCATTATGTATGCTTAAATATACCATATATATTACTATTTATTATCTATATTAAATTACCATCTATATATGAAGAACCGGGGCTAATAGAGTGGACTAACAGTGGGTTAACATTCTGCAAATGAGGAGCTGACTAAAATCATGTTATTAAATATTTGTATATATATATATATATAGTCTATTGAAATTGAAGACAATTTGATAATCTTGACCTAATCTATATACTTAAATAAGCAGATAGTCTAGTAGCTAAAAATACAGCAAGAGGGACTAACAGAGCTTACTAACAGAAGGCTAACAGGGAGCCACTTAGTATAAGCCCTTGTTTCAAATGCAAGACTAATTAAGAGGCTATACCCATATAGAAAAAGTAATTTAAAGTCTATATAGATATAAAATCTATATAGATGTTCATTATATATATGTTTTGTATATTTGATATGCTATAACAAATATTTATCCTATGTGGGCGGGTTGTTGTTCATATGTGCTTTTCAGACTTCATGTTGCTTGCTGCTTGTTTTTCATATTATTTCCGCTTTTGTGGCATGTGGCAGGCAAGTCTCCCCGGGGCGGCTTATGTTCCTGTTTCCGGCTAGTCAGAAAAAGTTTTGCCAGCTACCTGCTCCAAAAAGTTTTCGCTTTACCAAAAACTTTTCTTCGTTCGGCTCTTTTCTTCTGCTCACTGATTTTTTCTCTCTTTTGCTACCTTCTGGGGCCGGGCAACCACAAAAAATAATTAAAATTCATTCATTTGATTTGCAGGCACAGCTGAGCGAAGCCGAGCGGAGCTGCGGGCTGCCCTTCAACGCGCTGCAGCGGATGGCTGCCATTTTGTGCGAACAACCAGCAGCAAAAGGGCAAAGGCTGCCAAGGAAAACACACACACCAACAGACCCGCACACCCACACACCCACACACCCACACACCCACACACCCACACACAGAGACGCCGATAGAAAGGAGAGGAAAAACTTTTGCAACAAACTGTAGCAGAATTAATTAAGTTTTCGTACGCATGAAAATTGTATTAACAAATAGTAGAGCAGCGGGTGGGGGCAGGCACGTAGATAGGCGGGCAGGCAGGTAGGCGAAAGGTGGGCGCAGGGCGCTATGGGGAATCTGTGTCGGCCACTGGCATTGTATGTCATTAATAAAATTAACACTAGCAGACAACGTTGCACATGTCACACGGAAACAGCTTGACAGAGAGCAAGAGGCAGTCAGCGAGAGGGAGAGAGAGAGAGCGTGGGTGCAACAGCAGCGAGCAAAGAGCAGAGCAATTAAGTAACCTGCCAACAAAACAGTTGACACTGCTGCAGCGTACCAAAAAGGAAACAGAGGTATGGGGCAGGCAGCCCAAAGGGGTGGTGTGGCAATGCGAGGGCTAACGTAAAAATATGCTTTATAGACGCCCCCGCAGCACATTGACATTGATTGCTCAGCTTTTAGTTAGCTCTGCTGTGTGCTTGACCGACCGAGGGGAGGAGGCGGCGGAAGTGGGCGGCGGGTTGCCAGTGGGGGATGCTGCAGAGCAAATGGGTTAAGTGGAGCAGCGCTGCTGCTGGTGTTGCAGTCGCGGTCGCAGTCGCAGTCGCAGTCGACGTCGCAGCTAGCTGTGCTAATAAAATGAATGATTCATGCGCAGGCCACACTCACACACACGCACGACTTGAAGCTGTAGCCGAAGTTGGAGTCGTCGCTGGCATCGTTGTGGGAGGCGCAGCTGGAGGACGAGGCGTTTATGTTAACAAATTAAAAGCAAATTGGGCGCCGTTCTGTCTGCCTCTCGCTTCGGCCTATGGCCGACTCGCTCGCTCGCACGCACGCATCGCATCTGCAGGCTGCAGCTGCTCCCAAGAGCCAGTGCACAGATTTTAATTGAAAAGAAGTGCATAAAAAGGGAATCAGAAAACGCTGGGCTGGCGTTAAGAAACGCTCGCAGAACGCTGGCGAAGCGCGCGTTAGCGCTTTCGTGGGAGGCATAGAAAATATCGTTTGCTAATTAATTGTTAACGAATTTTCATTTTCTATTTGACGCTGCGAAATTGCCATTTATGGTTATTGGTAGCAGCAAACGTAGCGCAGGCAGGGGCCGGAGTGGCGTTGTCGCCGTCGTCGTTGCGTCGACGCTGGCTGAGAGTGGAGCATAATAATTTGATGTGGCGCAAATTGAAAAATGCTGCATAACTCCGCCCTTGGAAAAGTTGCTCACACACACGCACGCACACTCACAAGCAAAGAAAATTGAAAACTCTTCAAGTCGTTTTCGGCAATGGCGCCTCAGTCGCTGCAAAAATTCCCAGTATTCATAAAGCAGCCTCGCAGCCAATGAAAGTTGCGAGACGACAGCTGTTTGTCTCGCTCGCACTCAAGCTGCTGTACAGTGACTCCATATTGAAAATGGCCACAAGCACACACAAACACAACCACACGCACGCACACGGGCGCAAACAAAACATCATTTCTTTTAAATGAATTACCCCCGGACGCGTCGCAGCAGCAGCAGCAGAAGCAGCAGAAGCAGCAAAGGCAGCAGCAGCGGCGTCAGCGCCAAGTTGATCAAAATTGAAACAGGCGACGCTGCGCATATAAAAATTAAGTGGTTGTTGCTTTTTGATGAATTTCCAGCTCGCTCGCACACACACACACACGAGCTCGACCGCAACAACATGGCAACAATCTCTGCTTGCGCTTGGACTGCGCTGCTGCTGCTCGTTTTGGTTGGTGTTGGTGTTGGTGGTGGTGGTTGCGGTGGCTGTGTGCCCCTCTATCTGGCTCGCTCTATTTCTCGCGCACACTCGCTTGCTGCCTCTCGCTCGCGCTGACGCGCTCTCGCGCAGCCGTTGACGACGTTGGCGACGCAGCCTTGCGTGAAACTTTTGGTTTCCTCGCTTGGCGCGTCGTCAGCGGCGCTCAGTTCAAATTGAATTTTCATTGCGAGCGTTTGCGTCCGTCTGCTGCTGTTTTGCCGCTGCCGCACACAAACACAACACAAACACACACACACGCTCATTCTCCTCTCTCATTCTCTCTTAATATTAATATATATACATTTATATATATGTGTATAAGCGCAGAAACAGTTGAACTATAAATTTTGAGAGTCGCGTAGTGTGTTTTGTTTTCGCATTTTTGCACGCCGGCCGACGGCAAACGCACCTGTATATATACCTGTATATGTTTTTTTTTTGAGCACGTTCAACTACAGCCAACGGTAAACGGGTGTTATATTTGTGTGCCCAGTGTCAAGTGCGTGTACGTTCCATTTGCGTTATAAGTGTGTGCGCTAAACAACTTTATGGCGTGTTCCATGGCCTGAGCAGCTGCCGCAGAGTGGGCCATAATGGTACTAGAGCAACAACATCAGCCAGCAACAACCGCAACGGAGAGCAAAAAGCTCAACAATATCAACAACAACAACAACAACAACAACAATAATATTAATAATAATAACAACGCCAACAACAACATCAGCAACAACTTCATCTTCAAGCAGGAGGACAACAACAGCTGCGAGCCCACGGAATTCAAGCGCCAAAGGACAAGTCACAGCTCGAGCCACAGCTCGGGTCACAGTTCGAATCACAGCTCGAGTCACAGTCACAGCCTGCACAGCCATTTGACCGCCACGCCGCCACAACTGCAGCAACGTTTGAGCGGCGCCTCAGCCACAGCAGCAGCAGCAGCAGCAGCAGCAGCCGCTGCCGCCGCTAGCAACAGCAACAGCAACAGCAGCAGCAGCGCTGTCACTATGCCGTCGGAGGGACTGCATCCGACGGCCGCTTTGCAGCTCTATGCGGCCGCCGCACAGTTGGCGCCCGGCGGCGTACGCGTGCCGCCCTGGGGACCCTTTCTGCAGTTCGGAGTGCCCGGCGTATTCGGGCCGAATGGCCCCTTCTTGGGCAGGCCGCGCTTCGAGGCAGCGGCCGGCGGACATCCCACCACAGCCGCTGCGGCAGCAGCGGCCACCCAAATGGCAGCGGTCAATGCGAGCAATGCATTTGCCAATCTCACCGGCCTGAGCGCCGCGGCGCTGCGCAACGTTAGCGCCGCCCAGACAACGGCCGTGGCAGCGGTCGCCAGCACCGTGGCCACCATCCAGCATCGCCTCATGATTGGCAATCGGCAGAGCTTGCCGCCGGCTGGACCGCCCAGCGAGGGCTCCAACGAGGACGGCGGTAAGTGCATGCCCCTCAGATCTAGATAAGCATAAATATTCAGATATGCATAGATATCCTCAGCTCTGCTACTCTGTCCGATGTATCTGAGCGTGAAGTAACCACTGGGGCCTTAGGCAAAGTTGCTTCATATCGAAGTCGAATCGCCCAACACGAAAAGGGCTTACCCCGATCTTCCAAATAGACCATTAGGTGAACCTATATATGTGATCTATCTGGGAACGATATTTCGTAGGACATTTGATAGATTAGGCCGCCTGAATTCGTTTGATATGAAAAAGGCATTTCTTATTGGGTTAGTTGCAACATCTGATTGTCTTCTATATAGGATGAGCTCTCATATATATAAGACTAACTTCATGAACTATGTTGAACTATGATTAGAAAACATTCCATGCCATTTTGCTTCAAATATAAATCTATATCAGGATAAACTATTTCTGATTACTGATCTAAATATATACTATATAACGCAGTATGTTGTCTGCCTCATATATCTTATTTTATATAAATATATAAAATATTTCTAGTAACTGCCCTGACTCGAACGGAATATCTACCAATTTTACATGAAATTAATATGTCGAATATATAGATAGAATAGATAATTCTTGAGTCTAAGAATTATCTAGGGACTCACTCGCATCGACCTTTAGAAGTATACCCATATATAGCGTGTATATCTTGTATATATATTCATTTATAATTCTTAAAATTTATGCCCTAAAATGTTGTTTATTAAAGGATTAAAGAAAATCTCAAGTCAGGAAAATCCAAAGCACAAAAACCTAAGAAACTTGATCCAATCAATATATACTTTTCTGCAATAGATGCATAAGATTTCAGATCATGTATGTGATCAGAGGATCATATATGATATTCCCATTGTCTTATAGTCAGTATGTAAACAGAATTTCCGTAATTGAGAGCTCTTTGCTTATGTGTAAGCTTAGTTGCCTAACAAACCATCTTAAGCTGATGATCGATAACTTATCGATGATTACGAAAGAGCTGAGAGTCGCTGAGAAAGACATGTTTCGACAGGCTGAGCAGCAATAATCCCTTTAAATTATGCCATAAGACCCAGTTGGAATTAAGACAGAATATCTCTCACTTATAGAGACAGAGGGAGAGAGAGAGAGAGGGAGAGAGAGAGAGCCGACTAATCATAATATTAATTTGCATTTGAGTAAAGGGCATCAATTGCTTAGTCAGAAATCGTTGCCTGCATTTGATTGTGGTGTCTGGAGGTCAGTTCCCAAAAGCAACTCGAGGGTAGGCAGTTGGGACGGAGGGGTCATCGGGAGAGGCAGTTATGCTTTGATTGAGATCCACCTCCTGGGCGTTATCTGTGGCACGTCGCAATATGCTAATTCATTCAATTAGCCGTGCGCTAAACGTATTTGGATTGTCAGCTTTTGCCAGTCGCTTGACTTTTGCTACCTAAAAATTTATTTATTGATTTAGCTAATCAGCGAGCGTTTATTATGTAAAAATCCGATTGATTTTAGCATACAAAGTAGCTGCGAGCCTCGAACCGGGAACTATTAATATATACATTAATATATATATATATATATATATATATATATATATATATGCGTTTGTGTGAATGATTTGTGCTGCCTGCTGCGCTGAAGGTCGGCTTCAGCAAATCGAATTCGAATTCGAATTCGAATTCGTATCTGAGCTCGACTCTAATTCCGATTCGCCGTGAATGACAATAACAGTAGTCGCCTGCGATCGGTTTCATGATCATCATTAGCCACATCTTAAGTGTGATGTCTACAAGGCATTTCTATTCACATTCCGAGCGAATATTCGAAGCTCTATTCACGACGCTGACCATTAATATAACCATATACGATTTATTGGCTGCCTCTGAGTCTCTAAGCTCAACTCGCAGTATTAATTAGGAAATTGGGCCAGACTCATTTGTTATGATTTTTGTGATGGGCGTAGAGCTTTAAATATGCGTTCACCATCAAACAACAAATTGTGAACAAGTTTTCCTTATTGATTTGGCCACTATTAACAACAGATATTCAAGTCGAGATATTGATATGACAGAAAGCAGATCCAAGCAACTGAAACAACGTGCGAATTCCCTACTGAAAGGCAATTTGCTTCTATTATGTGGCTACAAAACAAAAAGAAGTTGGAAACGAGTTTGCAAAGCCAGTGAAAACGTTTACGAAAGCGTCTCAAAGAGACAGAGAAATAAAAAAAATAATAAATGCCAGAGGGAGAGAATGAAAGAGCAGAGGAGTGGACAAGGGAGAGAGAGAGAGAAACAGTCAAAGAAAAGGATAGAAAGAGAGAGACTTTTAGAGAAAGATAGAAAGAAACAAAAATATATTTGTATATATATATAGAGAGAGAGAGAGATACTCCGAGAATGAGAGAGAGAAACAGTCAAAGAAAATAATACAGAGAGAGAGAGAGAGAGAGAGAGACACGCACAGGAAGAGGGAAACAAAAGCTTAAACAATTGCAAAATAATACAGAGATCTTTTGAGCCCTCTTATTATAAACGAGCCAATCTAAGGGTCTTATAACACAGTTTCTTATACCGATTTTGATCAGGAATTGTAGTACTCAAATAGAGTAATTCTCCAAGTGTTATCTCTTCATAAGAGTAGACCACATTTGGACAGTTGGGCAAAGGACATACCTTAAACATTTCATCTCTCTCTGTCCTCTTCCTTTCCCCTTCTCTCACTGGCCATTAGCTTGGCCCTGCCCAGCTGCAGTTGTTGGGCCCAAATTGATGAGCTCATGTCCGACAATTGCCTTCCATTCGACTACACTCTGATTGCCGACTGCTGCCAGTCGCTGGCCAAGTGTGGCCAAGTGGCCAGAGACGTCCTTGTTGGGGCCGCGGCTCATTGGCCAATTAGCATTAACAAATGACGGCTAGTTGGTGTAATTATGGCCATAATGCATATATCCAATGCCGAGTCGAGACAACAGCTTGGGGGCGTGGCATGCAAGGCGCGCACTCGAAGTGAGCAGCGTTTCGTTATTCAGTTTGGTATTCTTCTGCCGATTATTAACTGCATTAAGAGTGCGGAACGGGGCGGGGCGGGGGCGGTGGCAAGCTTAATTAATTGCCAAGCAACCGAAGAGCCGTAGAGCCGCAGAGCTGAAGAGGGGCTGTCTGCGCCCACTTCCTGACTGCGTCGCCATTTTAAAAAGTAATTATTAATTTGATTTGATTCAATTTGATTAGGCCAACGCGCGATGGCAGATAGGAACCAGCCCGCAGCTCCCAGCTAAGGCGCCTCGACGTGGGCGCACACAGCGCTGTGGGTGGGGCGTGGCATGGCGTGCTGTGGTGGGTGTTGGGATCGCTGCAAGAGGTGGCAGAACGGGGAACGCCTCAGCTGTGTGTCGTTGCCAAAGCTCATTAATCATGGCGAGGCAAGACAAAAACAAAAACCAAAAACTCAAACAAAAATAACAAAGAAAAGTGTTTGCTTGTGCAAGGGGTTAAGCGAGGGTGTGTGTGCCGGTGTCTGTGTGTGTGTGTGTGTGTGTGCCTGTGGCACATCACCATCAGTCACATGGCCATGCTCCGGTTTTCTGGCTTGGCTCCGCATTTGCTCATTTCATGCCGGAAATGAAGAAACTGTCATAAAACGATCGAAATCATTTATCATGCGATTTTTCGCTGGGCGCCGCCATTTTGTTTTGCCCTCGTCTTCGGCTTCTGCTTCTTGTGCGGCTTCTTCTTCTTGGCCATGTTCCTCCTCTTTGCGCTCTTCTGCTTCGCTGGCATTGCGTACTGAATTCGAAATGAGCTGAAGGAGTTGGAAGAGGCAGCACTTCCGCCCCATGAACGACATCTGACATCTGAGATGATGAATCGCTCGCTGGCAAATAGATTTGATTTCAATTTGAAAAGTATTTCCGTCTCATAATGAGGTTTTCGGGTCAAGCGCAGCTCCGGGAGGGCACTGCACGGAAGTCCAAGCTAAGCGAGAAACAAGCATCACAATTAGACGAATTATCGACAGAAAGTTTCTCTCATCAAGGCAAATGGACTTACAGCTTTACCGTCTAACAGTTCCAGAGATCCAACAACCAGATCGTGGCTCTATATGCACCATGTATCAATTGCTTCAATTCTATTCTCGCCTTAGCTACAGCAATATTGACAGTTATGACTGCAAGTCAGCGTAAGAACTAAGAGGGAAATATGTCTCTATGAGAGAGAGCGAGAGAGAGGGAGAGAGAGATGACGATAGAGAGATAGAGTGAAAGAGAGAAAGAGGTAAATTGAGATGATAAGGAATAATGAAGGAGAGACACATAACACGGAGATAACAGGAATGGAAAGGATGAGAGAGAATAGAAGAGAAATGCTATGAAATAAGGAGAGAGAGAAAGAGGGATATATATGGAAAGATCGTTGGTCCGTCTATAGAGACGGAAGAGATCTTACCGAGTTTCGTACTCTATTGAGAGAAAGATAGTAAAATAATAATTTAGAGGTAAGAGAAGAGAGCGGACAGCTTGAGACAGGCAACAGCATTTTGCGCTTAGTCAACGAATCAATCATGAATACTGAAACGAATCAATTGATTGAGTGCACTGAGTAGGCTCACGGCTTCCGTCATAAGTGAATACTCTGCCTGGCATCTGGACTCTGCTGCGTGCTGGGCATGCAACTAGTGCCGCATTCTAAGCATTTGACTTTTGGCTGCAATTAGCTTTCAGCTTCTAGCGAAGCCAACATTCAACCCCATCCGAGCGCTTGGCCCGCTGGCAGCGTAGCTCCTCGGGGGCAAATTGTTGTCGGACAGGCTCCTTTTTTCTGGCTGCTCCTCTTTGTGCTGTGCTTCCTTGTTTGTTGTAGTTGCCTTAATTTTTATGACTTAAGTGGCCCGCGCGTCTGGCCAGGGGCGGGTTCTTCAAAGGATGAAGTGAGGGGGGTGGCCAGTTGCCAGTTGCCAGTTGCCAGTTGGTTTCTCCTTGGGTTGGTTAGGGGTGTGTGTAACTGTTATATTGCTCGAGTGACGCGCGCTATAAACGAACCGAACATGCCACGGAATGTGTCTGTGGCATGCACACAACTCGTTTTCGCTCTGATTTTTCGACTTGCTTTTTTTGCTCTGCACTTTAAGGTTAGGGCCGACAGCGTGCAGCGTTGCCGAATTGCAGGGACAGCCAAAAGGTGTGGCAGCTGCTTGGCTATCGTTTCGTTGCATTTGCCATTTGCCACTTGCCACTTGCCACTTGCCACTTGCCACTCGCTGGGCGCAATAATCATAATAAATTTCAATTATCCTGAGCAGCACAAATCACAGAAAGTCCCCTACCCCACCATCGCCTCCGACCCCCTCCATGCAGAGTGCCGAAGGCTGGCCGAAACATGAATTATGTGCGCATACAAAGAGGGAGAGAGAGGGAGAGAGGGAGATGTGAGAGTTACTGTTATTATTAAGTCATTTGAATGCACTTTGTGTGCATGCCAGACCGCCCCACAAAACGCACTCTCACACACGCACACACATAGAGCGAGAGACAGAGAGGGAGAGAGAGAGAGAGAAATTGAAGTCTGGCAACGCTGCGCCCTTTGGCTTGAACGTTTTGTTTGGTGTTTGGCGTTTGTCGCTTTGCTTTTAATGTCTCTATTATTGTTGTGTATTTGCTGTTGTTATTGAGTTATTAACACACACACTCGCACACACACACACACACAAACACAATTATATCGAGTCTAGCTGACCGTCGCGCGTCGTTTAAAACAAACGAGTTTTTTGTCGCTTTGGCCAAGCGTTGCGGCAAACGTTACAGCGCCTTGCGCATAATTAGATACACTTAACAGCAAACTGCACAAGACCCTTCATTAGGGGCGTGGCGCCCGTGTGTGTAGCGAGGGTTAGTTGGTGTCTAGTTCCACATTAGGCACCGGCGCTGGCTCTGGCGCTGGCTCTGGCGCTGGCTCTGGCGCTGGCTCTGACACTAGCTCCAAGGATATGTTTACAAAGTGCCAACAATATGTGCGAGTGCATAACTTAAGCAGTGCTTAAATATATATGTATAGGTCTATATATTAATAACTGCATTTATGGCTATTCTATTCAAAACGGCAGTCGCAATGAAATGAGTTTTGCATAATGAATGAATTAATGCATTTCATGCGTGCGCTAGCCAAAGCCAAGAACAGTAGCATTATTTAAATATATATATATATATATAATTATGTTTATACATATACATTTAGATTTACTAAAGCACAGTCACTTGTGATGATAGCAAAGCTAATCTGCTGAGCTCCTTTCAGAGCAAAGCGCAAAGCGCAAAGACAATTCGAAGTCAGCTTTGAAGCCTTGGCTTTGGCTTAAAAATTTACAATTTTAAATAAAATAGAGTTTATCTTTTAATAGCTCCAGTTATATATGCGTATATTGAATTCTTTAGAATATTTTTCAATCAAAATCTATTCTTCAGTTTTTAGCTCGAAGCTTGCATAAATTGTTAGTTTGAGTTGACTGGAGTTCAATTGGGTTTAATCATTATCAAATTCAAAATCTTTAGAAAATTCCACATATGTCGAGCTCTATATGAACTAACTATTTTGTATTGTTAAGAAGTGTTCCACGAGTGGACTAGGCACTTGGGGAATTAATTTTAATTTAAATGCTATATAAATTATTACGAAATTACTTTCATAAGAAATATGATCTTTATATGTTTAAAGAAACCTTAGATCCTGAAACGTTTCTAATATAGTTCCCAGTTATTTATTAATTTTATTTATTATTTATTTATTTAAGTATTAAGAAGCTAATAATCTAGGCATGTCTATAGAATGGAATCTCTTTCTTCATAGATATAGACTTGCTGTATTTATTGTCTAAGCAATCTCAAGTTCAGGGAACTATTTTAGGTATTACTAGTTCTATGAACTACTAGGAAAAGCCTCTAATATATGCTTGAGGAATCTTGAACGGAGTCTAGGGTCTCTCCACTGAGTGCGTTGTCAGTGGGCTAGGGTAGTTTAAGCCTTTGTGTGCAGCTTCGATTTAATGGACGACCTATGCAGATGGCCCGCACTGTATTTGAGGGCAGCTCTCTAAAGCGTCTCGAACAGCAACACCTTTTTGGCTTTTGTCGGCTTTTGTTGCGATTCTCCCGTCTCGATCGCAGTTAATTTGATAAATTGCTCAGCTCTTGCATGCGACTCGGAGCTCTGTCTGTCTGTCTGTGCATGCCACGCCCCCTGTTACGTTGGCGCATGGAAAACTATGCGACGCAAAGGGAAAGAGCCAAATAGAAACGTAATTAAATTGTTATTTTTGCTGTTTTGCTGTTGCTTTGTTGCTTTTATAGCGAGCCGACGCCTCGGCAGGGGCAGTCTGCAGCCTGCAGCCAGGACATGGCGAGGGCTGAAAAGGGCGAGGATTAGGAGGGGATGCTGGCACGAGAGAGACCCATGCGTGGACCACTGGCCAAGCTGGGCGTATTCTAATTGAAATATATGATTATGAATATTTATGCATTCATGCGTATTTTCTAATTGTATTGGTGACGTCTCTGTGTGTGTCTCAGCTAATTTAAATAACACTTGATTGGGGAGCTATTAAGTGAGAATAGCTCCATCCGTACAGAGTGGGAATCGTGCCCCAACACGTGTTCCCACTGGACCTAGTTTCTAGTTTGGCCTAACCGCAATTAGTTTCAATTAGTCTTGAAATCCCGCATTCTTGCAGGCTTTCCTGGCGATGGGGATGACGATAGCAGCGCCGCAAAGCGTCGACGCTCGCGCACGAACTTCAACTCGTGGCAGCTGGAGGAGCTGGAGCGCGCCTTCTCGGCCAGCCACTATCCGGACATCTTCATGCGCGAGGCACTGGCCATGCGGCTCGATCTGAAGGAGTCGCGAGTTGCGGTGAGTTCAGTTGCGATCGAACACGCTCCAACTGCTGTTCGCCTGCCGGAGAGTACACCTTTGCTGAGATTATACGCTTTGTTCCAGATAGGTATGGTTCCAGAATCGACGTGCCAAGGTGCGTAAGCGCGAGCACACCAAAAAGGGTCCCGGACGACCCGCACACAACGCACAGCCGCAGACGTGCAGCGGCGAACCGATTCCTCCCAACGAGCTAAAAGCCAAGGAGCGGTAAGTAAACCACTTCAAATTTCTATACAATTTAAATCATAATGGAAACATCACGAATAGTCTTATCTATCATCAAGTTGGTAGCTGTGGGAGGTTGATCATTTAAGATAGAAACAATTCCAAACAGTTAATAAAAGTTTTTTTCTTTGTTAAGGAATCAAATTACCATTAAGTACATATTTTAAGCACTTAATTCAACTGAAACTCCATTTAAGCATTACACTCCTGTAAAGCAAGCTCCACATATATCAGTTGCATTGCTCCATTAACTTTATAAGAATTTTATTATCTCATTTCTGTGGCATTGAATGGATATATCTATTCGTATGACTCTGCTTAGATAGTCTCCTTATTTATTAGATAGTATTACTTTTTTAGGATATTTATAATGTCAAAATAGTAATAGGAAATTGGGAAATACAACAAAATCAAACATAATTTATTTTTTCTTCATTATATATTTGTCTTCCTTTAATTCAAATTGATTTCAATTTTATTATATATATATTATATATTACATATATGATATATATTATATATATATATTAAATACGTCTTCCATATAAGCCCTGATTAAGCATCAATTTCATAGCTAATTCTCACTTTGAGCTTTGCCTTGTCTTGATTCAATGTAAATACAAGGAAATATTAGTTAAGTTTAGTTCGTTGAAGCATTCCCACATTTAATTACTCTCTTTCTCTCTCTCTCTTCTACTCTCACATTAGAACATTGTCTGTTCAGTAGACATTTATGAACTCTTCGTAAATATCAGGAAATCTTACTCGTCTATACAACTTCCATTCATTAAATATCCCTTTACAGGCATATAATATCCCACCGCATCACTTTTGCCCTCCTTTCCTTTTACACACAATGGGAAATTTAAGCAAATATTTATTTCCTTCTGAGAACATAAATAGCCCCAAATTTTGAAATTTCCCTTGGATCTTCTGTTAGCATTGATAAATAGGGAAATTTAAGGAGATCTCAATAAATATCCCTTTATAGACCATATATATTTAACCCAAACATTCTCTCTCCCTCACTCTGTTCCATCCATTGCAGAGCGCGACGGCGCAAGAAGCTGGCCAAGGCGATCGATAGGCAGGCGCGCAAGCTGCAGGCGAAGGGCATCACCGTCGACCTGGAGGCGCTGAAGGCCGAATACATATCACAGCACAAGGCGAACGGCACGTTCTCCGATTCCGATCTGGAGGACGATGGCATACAGATCGATGTGGTGGGCGGCACGGACAGCGACGACGAGCTGGACAGCGATGCAGTGAGTCCGCCCCGCATGGGCGGCGGCCACCATGGACTGTCGCACTGCGATGGCGATGGCGACAGCTCGCGTGCTGGCAGCTACATTGGTGGCGGCGGCAGCCTGGGCAGTCCCAGCTCGGCGGCGCCACCGACGCTGCATGGCAGCAATGGGGCAGGTGGTGCTGGTGCCGGCGGCGGCGGTGCAGGTGGCAACTATATGCACTCAGAGCAATCGGATGGCGGTGAGCTGGACGAGCGCGAATCGGCATCGCCCAAGGCGCTGCTCTTTCCCGCCAAGGCATTCCATCAACTGAACCTGCAGAACACACAGCACAGCCACAGTCACAGCCACAGCCACAGCGCAGCGGCAGCGACGGCGACGGCGGCAGCGGTCGCAGCAGCGGCCAATCTCGTCCATCAGACCTCGCCCATCAGCATGCGGCGCAGCAATCCGTTCAGTATCGAATCGCTGCTCTTCAACAATACGTGAGGCACTCCAGCTGACAAATATGTAATTGGAGCTGGAGCTGGAACTGGAACTGGAACTGGAGCTGGATCTAATTCCGAATCTGGAGTGGCTCCGCTGCATAGAGGAGTCTGCCTAGGGATTGGGCTGCGTCTTTGATTATAGTTTCCTCGTCATTTCAATTATGAGTTCCTAACTGTTTCTTCTTCTTCCCTTTTTGCTCATTTCGTGTGTGTTTTTGTATGTGGGGCTCGTATCTTTAGTCTATTTGTAAACAATCTACATTAAGGGGTTTCCTTTTATACTTTCACTTTCCAATCCAGTTCGGGGCTGCGAGCTTAAGTATAGCTAAGTGATTTAATTTATTATAATTCTTTTTTTTTTTTTTTTTTGTACTTTGTATCGTTCCAAGAGAGACTAAAAATTAGCTTCGTAGTGCGCATTTTATATTATTTTTAAGGTATAAATAAAATCTAATTTTTTTTTTAAAATAGTTTTGTCGTGTGGCTAAGCAATGCTTATAACAAATGGTAATATTTACGATAAATATGATATATATATACATATACGAAAACATAAGAATAAGTTTTTTTTTGCTGTATGACTGTGTGAAAGAGAGAGAGAGAGAGAGAGAGAGTGCGTGTCTGTAAAAAATGTAATTTAAACTAGCAAAAAACAAAGGAAAATATTACAAAATAAAAACAAACAAAATAAGCGCATTTTTTTTGTCCTGATTGAGAGAATATGCTGTAAAAATCAAGAGGAAGCAGAGCATATAAAATATAACACATATGAGACACACAGATTACTATATATAGAATGCAAAATACGAATATTGTATTTGAAAAACAAAGCAAAAGCAACAAGAATATTGTCCAACAACATAATAAAAACAAAACAAAAAACGAAATGTATTGTAAAGAAAACACACTGAAATAATGTTTTTTTTTTTTGGTCATATAAAAATTGGCAAAGAATTCAATAAAATAAAAGATGAAAACAACTCCCAAATAAGAAATACGCATAAACGAACCAAAAGTGTTTTTTATCGCCAGCCAATGGGCAGTTAATGGACCCGCCCCGCCCGCCTTTATGCAGCGTATTAAAAGTCGGATTGCTCAACGGCTCAGCAGATAAAAATATGGCATAAACAAATCAATTGCCAGCTGTAAAAATCTAAATACTCGGGCGACTGAAGGAAGGAATCGCCGGTCGAGAGCGAGAGCGAGAGCAAGGGATGGAGAGGTGGCTGAGTGGAGAGTTTCCATATGTGACTGTCTCTACTGCCGAGAAGACGTGTGTTGAGAGAGGGAGGGAGAGAGAGCGAAAGAGGGAGACTGTCTCTACTACCGAGAAGACGTGTGTTGAGAGAGGGAGAGAGAGAGAGGAAAGAGGGTGTGAGAGAGAGAATTGAAGAAAGTGAAGTAAAGAAAGACAAAGAGATGAAATGAAAGAAGGAGAGAGAGAGAGAGAAAATAAAAGAAGATTATATTAAAGAGAGCTAATTGAGATTGACAAAGAAAGGGTGAAAAGAGACAGAAACAGCAAGCGAAAAAGATAGATAATTAGAACAAATACTCTATAGAAAGAGAGCAACGGAAGAATGGATAAATATATATGAATAGAAAGAGAGAGAGGAAGACAAAGAGAGAGAGAGAGAAAGAGAGATCAAAAGAATATGAGAAAATAAACAGGAGATAGAGATAGATAGCAAAAGAAACAGACCCAGATAAAGATAACAGGCGACAGATAACATTCCCTTAAAGGAATTGTGGAAATGGCAGCATAAATATTGATAGCTTTCAATACAAATAAAATGACAATATTCATATTAACAGGGTATATCAATAAGCGTAAGGGAAATTTGTATTTACATATTGTCTCTTTCTTTCGTGTGCTCTCGCTCTATATCCCTCTCCCTCTACTATTTTTACTTTACTTACCTCCTTACTCCTCCTTACCTTACTCTCTTTTACTTTAAGTTTTACTTCCTTTCCTTAGCAATTCTCTCTTGCACACTTTCTACCTCTCTCTCTTCCTCTTCTCGTTCTCTGCTTTGCTCTTTCTAGCGGACTGTCTCGACTATGCTTGTGCATGTGAGTGCAGAGTATTCTTAGTCGAGCGTATTCCTTTTTGCCCTGTTCATTTTCTGCGCTGCCTCACTCTACGATTCTCATAACTGTAAACAAGACAAACTTAACCTAAAAGTTTTCCTTTATATTCCAGATGTCAACTATTCTAATTAGCTTTATATGTCCATATATAAAATATCTATATGCGTTATATGGCGTTATATGAGAGAGCTTGTCAACAGACAGACTCTGATTACAGCTGTGTGCTGCATGCCACAAAATGTGTCAATTGAATTTGCATTTGTTTTTGTGTTTTTTTTTTGCCCCAAGTTACGGTACGCTACAATTAACCGTTTAAACTTTAAGCTTGGTAAGTTTAGCTGGTTGCGCTGTGTTGTTGCTGTCGCTGCTTGCTGTGGCTACACAGCATGACGTCGACTTCAACGCCGACGTCGACGTCGCCGCCAGCGTCGACATCAACTGCGGCCGCTTTCATGGGAATTTGTAGAGTTCATTTCATGGCAATTTTATTGCTTATTAATTTTTCAGTGTTCGCGCTTTTATTGTTGTTGTTGCTGCTGCTGCTGCTGCTACATGCTGTTAATGACTCCGCTCGCTGCTGCTGCCACCTGCCCCGTCCATGCCCCTGTCCCTGCCCCTGCTCCCAACCCATTTGTGTTGCCCTGTTGATATGATTATTACGTTTATGTATTTTAATAATTGTTGCATGATTTGAAACATTTTTCTCTACAACTCTCTCTCTCTTCCTCTTTCTTTCTCTGTTTGAATAGAGCTTATAACTCGGGCAGACCTTAACTTTCAGCTATCTGTGTATGTCTTTGTATTTATATGCGATCCTCGGCTTCGATTCGTGGTCGTGTGCCCCGTCGAGCGTCCATAACTTTTGTGGCTCAATTACTTTTCGATGCAAATCAAATTGGTCGCCTTTTAACTATTCTTCACACGTTTTTCATTAAATATTTTCCTCCTTAAACTCTTTGCCATGCAGCAGCAGCAGCAACAACAGTCGAGACTCTCTTTGCTTTGCCTCATCATTTTCGGATTCGCCTTTTCTATATGATTCTCAATATCTCTTTGGAGCATTGTAAATGGTTTTTTGTTGAGCTCAAAAGTTATTTCTGTTTGCCTCATTGTTCATGAACTGTTGTTTATTGGCTTTGTATATCGTAGACATAGTTCTTCGGGCTCACTCGACTGCTCCAACATGCTTCCTACTTATCTTAGTACAATGCTCGCAAGCTCTTTAAGCTAATCAAGTTCTTTTGACTGTCCAATGGGATTGTTACACAAACTTTACAAATTAACGATATAAAATACTTAAGGTTTCGAATACTCTACATTTTTTTCTTATTCTATTAAAATGATGTAACTTTTCGTTTTATATATTTATTATTTATTTTTTAAATTAAAATTTTTATTTTTTAAATTTCAATTTAAATTTATTATAAATATATTTTTATTCTATTTTCACCTTAATTGATCTTCAACAACTTTCGGTCTTTTCATGTAAATCTGACACTTACCTATGTATATATATATGTATATTTAACATATATATCTCTAGTCATATATATACATGAACGTCAAAAGATGCGCGGCTCTAGAGTTCCACAATAATAATACTTAATTCAATAATAATATTTGTTTGTATTTATTTGTCGAATTTATAGATTTGACACTCGAATCAATATGCCCGGCCATGAGTGCTGTGCACCCTACGTTATAGCGCTTAATCGAAATCAATAAAGTTATTAAAACGACGCTTTTAAGTTTTCTGTAACAGATTCTTAAGCCAACAACTGAATAACAGCGCAGCAACAATGCGGATTAGCGCTTCATCATAAACAGCAATAACAACAGCTACAGCAACAACAACAACAGTAACAACAACAACTGATTGTCATAATTATGGGGCATTTTGTGTGTTTGCTCTCTTGAGCCACAACCTTCAAGAATTGGGTTTTGTCTCGTTTCTTTTTTGTATGTACACATAGATACCCTGTACATATTGACAAGGGTAATGATACCAGAGCTACTTCAGAAGCTACCAAAAGCAGTTCTTCTTAAATAAATCCTTTATTTTTCGATATTTATCGATTTCATAGCTTGTTCAATAAGTGATATATATGGACAGCAATTGATATTATGATTGGCTTCACTGTCAATAATATAAATTTACATATATGTTGGGTGCCTTATCTATTGTTTACACAAGTTCGATAAATATCGATCGAACTGTTTTAGCTGATATGCCTAATATGTGTACATCAATTGCTCTTGTTAAGCTTCCATAACACGAATTTACTGAAGATTATGATGCCGTATTAGGTTTTTCGTTGAAACGATATTTATCGATAATAATTTTTTTAACATTCGCAGATTTTTCAATTATATATATGTTTATACATTTATGTTAAGCAAAATTAAATGTATTCCTGATGTTTTCCAACATTGATTAAATTCGATAAATATCGATAACTCATTTTTGTCATCGAATGCTGCTCTCAGTATTAAAGTTATAATGTGTGCATTTATATTATTATCATTTAGCATCCATGTAATTAATTCACTATAATTTTTACTCAAATTCGATAAATATCGATAAGCAGATAAGCTTTATATACTACAAATAAAGCCAACTTAAATAATTAAATAAGTTTCTTAATGCATTCACTTAACTCTTTTTTAGAGCTAAAATCCAACGTAATATTGAAAGAGGTCAAGTGATTCGCATTCCTATCGAGTATAGAAATCGAAAGATCGAAAATAAAATGTTATTGGAAAAGCAGTTAGAAGTAAAGATCAGACTTGTTTCACTGTATTTTTATGCATTAGCTGAGTGTACTGGGTATCTGTTAGTCTGGCAATTGCAACTAGAGCACAGCTCTAGCTGTGGTACGGTTCAAGTTTTAGTTTTTGGTTCATTGTGGCTGCTG